ATATTTCAAGTCTTAGTGAAATCTGATCATGCCCAAGTATTGTATGCATCTGCAAGGTTAACTGGCCAAAAGTCAAAATGAGGTTTCATTTGAAAAACATAAAATCTACATTATAAGGCTCCATCTCACTTCACTTAGGTCATGGAATAAACTCTTGCCCAAACCTTATTAAAAAAACTATTGGCAAAGGATTACTGGTATGTGAGAGAGAGTAGATCTTTTTTAAGGAAGTGACTCTATTTTGGATCACTAGACTGCAGTAGATGAACTTGCACCACGGCACATCTAGATACAAATGCCTGAGCAGATAGGACTTAACATGTATGTCAGAATACCTGAAATCTGGTGCGGGGGCTATGAGGGGTGGGGAGGGGCAAGGGGGCAATAATCTGTTTAAGACTAGAAATATTTTAATTTACCATTTGTTATTAAGACAGTAGAGTCAACAGTGAACATCATTAAGTCAATTTTGTGAACTGAATCACTGTGATTCTGTAAACTTCTGTCAGAATTACAAGTTAATACCCTGATATATCACGCCAAATAAGCATTTGGTGGTTAACCAATAACAAAGATTTATTTGGATTTTTAATTTTAGCTTTAACACTGAAATTGCAAATTTACTGAATGAGAAGAAAAATATAGTTCTCATTATTATTACCAAACAGAGAGTCACAATTAGAAATTATTTTTTCCTTTATACTTGACATTTTTTTCATAAAAGAAACTACAAGTACAAGGTAAAACAATGTTTATATGTGAAACTTAAATGCCAGTAAGGCATTTTGACAAGTAAAGCTATTCAAATTACATGTCATGTCAAAATCCTTTATAGATCCTAGTGCTGTCAAAAATTTAAAGAGACAAAATCTCCATCCCCACACAGTTTTCAAGAGAGTTATGACAAATATGCAACTGAAGAAAGTTATTTAACCACTGATTGGAAATGATTAATTTTCAATGTAATGATTGTAAGTAGCCAGCTCTGTGAGATGGCGTTTTAGAGTAGGCATGAAGAACTCCATTCACCTTATTAGTAAACTTGCATTCTATTGAAATTTCACCGTATTATTATTGTTTCTTGAAAATAATCAATACAAATTAGATGGGAATTTGTTTTCTCTTGTCAAATAAGTATTATTAGTCCTTTAAAAGAAAATATTTCAGAACCCTCAACTATGGAAATAGTAAAAGAAGTTCTATAAGTTTTTTAAAATAAATATAGTAGACTTTAGATGCAGAGGATGGGTATATTAATGTCAGTTTTCAGAGAAAGCAATATATTCTGAATTCAGGAGGATAAGAATGTGTTCAGGTTGACTAAAATTCAACTATGTAGTATAATGTTAGGACAAATGTTTGCAAAAACAAATTAAGCATATACTTTAGATGGAATTGCAAAGTAGTCCCAAAACTAGAAACTCTCCTATGCCTGAACAACTAGATACAGGCTAAAGATTCTCAGGAGATCTTTGTTTCATTTAGTATGTGTCTATTAAGGATATGATTTACATGTACTTTGTCAACTACTAACAGATAAATGTGTGTCTGTGTAGATGTCTGTTAAATACATAATGCTACATTAAAATGTCCACTGAATTAAGTAGAGATGATGTATAGTAAGTAGTTAAAGATTAAAACAAAATGTGTGACTATATTCTATCCAATTAATTTTAACAATCAAACAAAACTTTTGCATAATATGCTCTTATATTTAAGCATGAGACTGTTTGTTGATATTGTTTTGTACAAAGACAAATATGTAAAGATCAAATAAGACCTATATCTGTCCAATCATCTGCCATCATGCTTCACTTTCTCACTAAAGCTTCACTATTAGAAGAATAAGAATTAGGAACGGCTCCAATATACGGGTTGGTAAAGACTCACTGCAATGGATATGAGGCAAAATGAAACTATAGGAAACCTTAGTGTATAAATACATTGTCTGATTCTTTTAGGAAAAAAATAACTAGATACAGTTGATCCCTGACACTTGCAAAATAAACGCCAGATTTGCATTTCTGGTTCTTTATATGTACTATGTACTAAACCAAACTGTGTATTCCCTTTTATGGAATTAAGTGTCAAACTGTCAAGAAAGAGGAAAGTGATTTAAAATAATCACTGTCTTTGTAGATATAAGCCTCATTTAAATCCAGTTCACAGTAACAATGTGCTCAGTGCCAAAAGGCGAGAAGTGTCTCTTGCCAATGATCTTAAAGAGTTTTGAAAACTGTTGCTGACATTACTGTTAATAATAAATATATTTCAGAGGGAAGGATGGATAGATATTGAATCTTATTATTTTCCCCAAATTAGAGATTACTAGTTCATAGCCTAGGCTTTGGAGAATTTGATGTTGTGTAAAATGGCATTAACTCTCTTAAGCGGAATATATTGTTGCAGCAGCATCACCTTGCTGTCCTAATGAATCAGAAAGGTGTGAGAGAAAATGCAGTCATCTCTATTATTTCTTCTTTCAGAAATCTGAAATTTTGAGAGTGAAAAATTGCCTAGAATCTACTAGAATGTATTTATGGGAAAGTCTCTTCTGCGTTTTTATCAGTGTAAATATTCAAAATTCTATCCTTCTCTTAGTCCCCTTACTCCAGAATTTGATTTTAGGTCAAACTTCTTTCAAAGAAATGTGAATTGAAACTCAAAAGTCTGCAGTAGTACATGTTTTGTAATAAATGGAGAAAATATCTTCAGCATCCCAAAGGAATCAAAAAGAAAATGATGAGAAATTTATTAATGATTTATGAGGGCAATAGTTATTTCCTGAAATGTAACTGTTGTTCAGAAAAGAAATTAAGAAGTAATAAAATTTGACTGAACCCTCTAAATTTGCTAAGTCCTTCTTGCTGCTCTTCTCAGTTGTTTCCCTCAATCTGAGATTTAGCCACTTGACTCTAACTAAACTCCTCAACCTCACTAATCTCAAAGCT